TCTCTCTGTCCCTCCTGTGACCACCACCGCCTTGCCGCCACCATGATAACAAGGTGAATACCAACAGTATGCAAACAAAGTACATAACAATTGAAACTTGACATTCATCTGCAGAATATGTGGCTTGTATGCATACATTTACCAATTGGTCAGTATCACCGACTACTGTATAGGCTCATGTGAGGGCTACAATTTCTTTTTCCTCAATTTTGACAAGGTTTTTTCACACACAGGACCTGGCCACTTGGTATAATTTTTACAACTATGTACAAGCATTAAATTAACCATAATCAAAAGTGATCACCCACTACCACAATATCAAATGCTCTTTAGTAGACTTTTTCATTCATTCATACAAACAGCACAATCTGCACAATCGGCTACTTACTATCACTACTGCTGTCGTTGCAGCTCGCACTCTTTGTACGCTCTTAAGCATCACTATGTATTGACCGATTGGAATACACTGTCACTTGAAATGTGTTCATAGGAATTTTTTCTCAATGTTTGTTCTCAGCTGACATTTTTTTGCTCCATATTTTGGGCAGCCACGTTGGGGGTGGGGCCGCTGTTTATCTACAGTGTACTTGCACTGTGGCATTCGTAATATCAAGTTTGACGACCAGTAAACATTTCTTCCTTGACCCCTAAACTACATTAATGGCCACACATTGCAGCCATTTGTGAGGTGATCTATTATATACAGCAGCAGCTTCATATAGAGCAGTGCTTCAAGTGACCAATTCTGCGTTTAAGCAAGAACATTTCTACCTGAAGGCGTTTTGAAGTGACATGATTTTACCCAGACAACAGGCAATCATTTAACCGTTCAATGTATTTCATGGCACTGGTTTATAAAATGAGCTCACAGACATGGAGGCAAAATTGGCTCACAGTAGTGCCACACCAATGTTGATCCAATTTTTTAGACCAGGCACTAATCCCCTAATGTAAAGAATACCGCAAGATATATTGTATGCATGTATGCATACAATTGTATATATATTGATATATTGTATGCATGTAGATGGTGCTGCCATAATTGTACCATGCTTGTGGATTGAAACACTGCCACACAAGGCTGAGCAATACACACACATACTTTTGTTTTCACCATCTGCAGTTTGTATCACATCGACATAATTGGCTCATCCACTTGCATCACAGCCAACATAACCTTTAGTGGCCAGGTTTGCAGTGACATGATTACATTATGACAAGTCATTCGAGCATGCCATTTTTTATACTAAAGGTTTCGATGCAGCATTTCAATCCGTGAACACTGCCCATGTGCTGAAAGAATCTCACACTGGTTTCATATTTCATGTTAGTTCAGACCATTGTTCCACAATTTGATTGCTTGTGCTTTGGAATTTACAACATTAAAGTTTGTTGTGTCATGAAAGGGCATAGCGTAGAGACTACGTATTGTATTTACTCGCGTAATCCTCGCACTCAAATAATTCTCGCACCCCCCACATTGCCCAACAAACATACGATTGCTTTTTTTTTCCCTCAAGTAATTATCGCAACCCCGAAAACTATCGCAATAATGTCGTCTGCTCGTCCAGCCACTGATGATGATAGCATGCGCCATCTCTTAACCATCAAGCATACTATTGCACGGATTCAATTCAACCTAGCCACAAACCTAGCCGAAGTGGCCGGTGCGCGTTGCGGCGTGTTTTCTATATTGTGTCGGTAATCTTGTTTTGAGGCGATACTGAAGCTACACGGCTGCTTTCAAGTTGAAAGTATAGATCATGCACTAAACAACGGCAACAGGGCCGTCGGTAGGCCCTTCAGAGTCTACGAGTTTTGTGTTCGCTACTGGTGACGGCAGCTGCAAGCCACCAAGACGCTTGGGCCTGCCGTGTGCCTAAAACTGGGATTGATGGTAAACTTTATTTCTTTAGAAAGAAACTGCGGATGATTTTGTTAAATGGCCATCAACCCAATACTGACGTCCTACGCTTACCTTTTGAGGGCTCCTGTTGAGCGACGAACGCTACCGCTACGCCCGCAACGTCCACAAGCTTTGCGTATGATGTTCTAGTTCTCGACTATTTGCTTCCACCTTTAGTGTCTCAACCACTTTTTTGTGTCTCAAATAAATCTTGTCTTGTGTTAAACCTCTGCTTTTACTGTTGAGGTAAGTTTTAATTAGTACTTAAAGCTTGCTGTTAGTTGCTGGTGTGAGAATCCCGATTTGCGGCCACTTCGTTCTTTATTTCGATTTGTACTTATTCGTAGAAAGTTTTCCCCGCGTAATTCCCGCACCCCCCAACTTTTCATCGGTTTTACGGCAAAAAAAGTGCGAGCATTATGCGAGTAAATACGGTACGTGCTACCAGGCATGCTACACAAGCCTACCTACACATTTGACAAGAAACCACTACATGGCACTGCATGACTAACTGCACTTTTCTTTTGAACAAGAATCTCATTCATATGTCTGAGGTTTAGCATAATTAAAAATAACCGAAACATATTTCTCTATACGAAATCAGTGGTGGCTCTAAATAAAGGCAGTGGTGACGAGAACGCTGAAAAGAGTAAAGTGGTGCTTGGCAATATATTTTAAATGCCCCTATATTGAAAAAAAAAACAAAAAAAAAACTCTTCGTTTCAATAATCAGAAGAGGCTTTCTCAGCAGGGAAGACTTCAACTTGTGACATACTAGTTAGTGGCAGGTATATAATCTGCTTGTGGTGCACAAAAACAATGAGTGAATTGTCGTCCAGCAAACCCGACAATGATTTTTACAATTTTGGTTGCATGCAGGGGACAGAGTTCACAAACTGAGCTGAACTGCGTTGACTCTGGAAAATGCCCGTTGTAGTAGGGCTAGACGGTCAGCAACGACAACTTTATAATAAAAGTAAAATATTTCCTACGTGTTGTCTGCCTCTGATTTGTGGAGAGCATTAATACTGCATACCAAGGAAATGAAAAATGTCCCTTTGGCAATGTCTGCAAATCATGTCAGTACTCCTTTAAAAGGCCAGAAAACAACCCCACAGTCCATAACGTGTGATCAAGTGACAAATGTGCACTTGCACAATGTGAGCATGCTGTTGTGCTAATTTTGCGAATAAATGCTGTAATGAAGAAGCTACAGGGTAAAGAGCAACCTGCTTCAGCTCGTTTCGGTTCCTCCCTTCCCGGCAGCCAAAAGAGGAAGCCTTGCATAGCCTGCTGTCCTGACGTCCACTTTGGCAATGTAGCACGACTTCAGATAAGTAATCGGCATTCAGTTAACGGCTAAGCAAGGCTTTCTCAATGTATCTCGTAGCACAGAGGATCGATTGACGAAAAAACGATGTAAATTTGCCCATTGGCAAGTTTACGTCGCTTGGCGTACAAAGAGGCTTGGACAAGCACTGAAGAGGGGCACAGGAATGGCATTTCGAAATGGAGCATCTGCACAGCACGCAGTGCTGCGATTTTCATAAAATGTGATCCTCGCGACTGTGTGCAACAATTGATGAGCCAGTTGGGAAGAGTTAAAACAAAAAAAAAGTCAGAGTCCGTTTACTGGCCTTTTTAAAAAGTGCAGGAGCAGCGCAGCTGTGAAAATGCTCTTGGGTGCAAGATTCCCCTTTTCGATGCTCAACATTTCCAAATGATAGAATTATTCTATATTTGAGCTGTTCCATTAAATTCCAGCAATCAAAACCTCACAGATTCCACATACCATGGGAATTGATGTTATGCAAAGCACATGGCAGGAAGGGGAATGTGGTGCAATTTTTTATAAAGGATACATTACAAAATGATACGAAAGATATGTACAAATACTGTACACACTGACTTATGTTAATCACAAACCTCACCCCGATATTCATATGAAGGTAACATATACTCAAGTAAAACTGATAGCTGGGCGAGTTTGCATGTATCTATATTTGAAGTTTTTTTAGCACACACAGAAGAGACAGACGAGAAAGATAGACACACACGAGCACTAACTCCCAACTGTGTATTTATTTTTTAAGAAAACTATATGTATATGTATCCAAGAAACAGCATGTGCGGCACAACATTTGTGCCAGGCCGTGCCAGAAAGTTTAAAATAAGGGGAAGAAAATGCAGCCGTGGCTTAAAAGAAAATCTAAGTTCACAAAATGCCGAAAAGAGGTGGGTATATCAGATATCGCTAATCGATGGAAATATGTACACAGAACAGATTGGCCGCCTTATCAACACAAATATAAAAAAGCATCCCAACTCGCTGGAAAATAAACATTTTCACACTTGTCTGATAATTGCAAATCATGCCATTGTTATCCCATGTTTCCTGATAGGCATTTTGTTTGCAGATAGAGACAAACTAACATGTGAAGTTATGGAAGCCTTTTATTATTAAAATATATGTGCACAGAAATGCATCAGTCAACCTTCAAGAGGCTCTAACAGACGAGTTCATTTGATAAAATTCTGTTAAGCCTTATGCTTTCTGGCAACGTGTCACATGACTCGCACCGTACATGTTCTATGCTGCTTCTTGGGTAATTACAGTAGACTCTCAGTAAACAGAACCTGAAGGGACCAGGAAAATAAGTTCCATTTAACAGGTGTTCCTTTGCCGAGAGGTAAACATGGGTGTAGAAGACAAACCCGAAACCAAGCGTTGCAAAATCAATAGTTCTATTTCAGCAGTAGTTACATTTAACAGATTTCCGTTTACTGAGAGTCTACTGTATATGTATGGTTCCTTTGAAAAATAAATAGTTGAGAGTTAGCACTAGGGTGTGTCTTTCTTTCTTGTCCTTCCCTTCTGTGTGGGCTAAAAAAAAGTAAAAGGTAACATACCACTATAAAATAGCAAAACGCAATCCTGCTGCACAGATTATGACTAAATGTGGAATTTAATCAGCACTACCTTCATTTTATATGTTAACACAGCCCCAACTGTGAGAAATTGGGTATCACAGGGACCATCAAACACATCTTGCATGCCAGCCTGAGATATGTTGTGTAAAGACAATCGCTGACAGAACCTTTGTCAAAATTTATTTATACAGCATTATATGAAAAGGTTCTTCAAAGACCTTTGCCACATCTTGGTACAAATGACATCAAGGCTGTCACAATTTTTGCATGAGACCCCACTGGATATGATTCTTTGAAATGTTTGGCTATTCAACACCATTCACTACCAATCACTTTCATCCTCACACGCTAGTGTACACCGATTTCCTTCGCAAAGCAGAGTCGCAGCTTAGAATTTTTATAGCTCTTAACTCCTTTCTCTTTCTGCCGCCATATGTTTTTCGCTCAGCATATCTGTCTTTAAAACGGTGCAGTGGTCGCTAGTTTGTGCTCTTAAATGAAACTTTTTCAAACCTGTGTTTGTAATTTTCTCACCATTCATACTATACAAAACCAATACTTTCTCCAACCAAATTCAGACTGCTATGTTCTCTGCCCAATTAAGAGTAATGCATCCTTGGTAGGATGTGATAGAGAGGGGATGCAGCCACTTCTAATGTCAGGTTTGAACTGTGATTACCACATTACGTTTAGATCCACAACAAATGTAGCAAGAAGCTCCAGCTGACAGCACTTCTTTTTTCTGACTTTGACACAACTTTTTATCAGCCTGCTTCAGTGCATCTAATGTAGAGATGCACAAAATGCATCTAAGTTCATATATGACCAAAAATAATTGCTCAAGTATACAGCTGCCGAATAAAATGCTGATCAATGTATGCCTCATGGACGAGTTAAAGGATGAATTTATCAATGAAAACAACTGCATGCTTCTTGCAGCATAACAGTTTGCCTATCGGACCCTTCAAAGTTTTGATTACATCTATTCTCACAGTGAAATCTGTTGCCACTGTTTATTTTATTTACAAACATGAGATGCATTCTGATGAGTTTGCCTATCGGACCCTTCAAAGTTTTGATTACATCTATTCTCACAGTGAAATCTGTTGCCACTGTTTATTTTATTTACAAACATGAGATGCATTCTGATGAGTTTGCCTATCGGACCCTTCAAAGTTTTGATTACATCTATTCTCACAGTGAAATCTGTTGCCACTGTTTATTTTATTTACAAACATAAGATGCATTCTGATGAATGACACAAAGTGGTCAAGTGGGATGGCAGAAAATGTACCATGGAACCCTCCAAATCCTCTTCTTTTCATATTTCATCTCCATTCAAAATATTTGGAATCTCGTCTGTCCTCAGGCCCTTCTTTGTTTTAAACTTCATTTTCATTCAAAAGAACATTTGGAATCCTGTCTGTCCTCAGTCCCCTCTTTGTTTTAAACTTCATTTCATTCAAAAGAACATTTGGAATTCTGTCTGTCTTCAGGCCCCTCTTTGTTTTAAACATTTCATTCAAAAAAACATTTGGAATTCCGTCTGTCTTCAGGCCCCTCTTTGTTTTAAACTTAATTTAATTCAAAAGAACATTTGGAATCTCGTCTGTCCTCAGGCCCTTCTTTGTTTTAAACTTTATTTTCATTCAAAAGAACATTTGGAATCCTGTCTGTCCTCAGGCCGGCCCCTTTGTTTTAAACTTCATTTCATTCAAAAAAACATTTGGAATCTCGTCTGTCCTCAGGCCTCTCTTTGTTTTAAACTTCATTTTCATTGAAAATAACATTTGGAATACAGTCTGTCCTCAGGCCCCTCTTTGTTTTAAACTTCATTTTCATTCAAAAGCATGTTCGGGATCCCCCCGTATGTACTTCATTTTCATTCAAAAGCATGTTTGGAATTCCATTTGTTATTGGGAATTTCCTCCCTGTTTCAGGGCACACAAGCTCTCCAGCAACAACCTCCACCTGCAAAGAGACAAAAAAAAAAAGTTGCACTTCAGTGACTGGTTACATTAAATTACAGCCATGCGGTCAACTGAAGTGAATTCGGAGTAGCTTCCGTAGCATCTTAGCACTCATTCTGGAGCAGAAAATCAACCTTTTGATGCAGTTACCAGTTGAATGAAAATATTTAAGTCTTCAAACTTATGAAGTTTAAACATTTTTAACAAAATTAATTTATGCACACTTATATGCCCATTTGGTCATTGTGTAAATGAAATCACTGTTTGTTTTCCTGTGGAAAGCCTTCAGTTTTTTAGTTCCATGGCTTCACACCACCTAATATTTTCCCGCAACAATCTTTATATTTGTAATTAAATAAAATTTTCCTAAAGGCCTATGTCTGATCTTTTGTACTTAGAGTCTGATTGCTCTTTTTAACCCGAAATATCGGCTCGTGCAACATTTCCTGTTCAAAAGTTTTTCCTCACTTATAAGCCATTTTTCTCAAAACATGATTTGTTGCATCCTAGTGTTACGCAAACAATGATAGCTCTGCTTCTAACCAATATTTTCACATAAAAGTTTGCGTGCTGTTTTTTTATAGGCGGTGCTTCATTCAAGCAGAATAATTGATAACGAACGGTAACTTTTCGCAATATGGCCACCAAGTCATAGTCCTTTGAACTTCTCTCCTGTTTGAATATTATTACCTGGAGGACTCGCATCAAGGGGGACTACGAATTAGCTTTTACAGCCTGGGTTGCTTTCACATGCAGCTTAATTGAAGTAAGGGGGTACTTATACATTTCAATCCCAATGAAATGCAACCACCCTGACATCAAACTAATCACCTTGTGCTTAGCAGAACTATGCCACAGCCGCTAATGTACTATGGTGAAAGAAGTCTACAGTGCATGACCAGGTGGACTCTGGCTTTGGAAAACTAATTTAATTTGTTCCTACAATGATGTAGCTCAGAAGCAAGATAAACAAAGTTCTACTGCATGCTGACACACATACACAGAAACAAATGAGCTCATTTCCATCTCTCACCTCAAAAAGTGTGTGATGAACTCTTCTCAAGAACTCTTCATTATGTTCATAATCTGGTAATAATGCCTTAGGCAAATCTGCAGCAATGCCAATCTGAAAGAAATAAATAGTTCCATTCAAGAAACAGCTCTTAAGGTTAGCCATGCATATATCACGTATAAAGCTGAGAAACCTTAAGGTAGGTCACCACCTTCAAAAATGCTTTTTAAAAAATTGTTTTTTGGGGGATTTCATATTTTGGAGCTCTCTGCCCATTCAAGAATACAAAAAAAAAATTATATAGCTATCTTGATTCACTAGAAAATTATCACCATTTTTTCGAACCCTGATTGATGCATCTGAAACCGAAAGTGAATGTTTCCATTTTCGCAGCACCTCCTATCTTGTCATAAATATTTTTCACATGCATAATATATTACATAATGCTAAGTTATGGAAGTACACTTTAAACCTTGTGGAACATCATGCTCTCATTTTATTTTTAAAATTTCACTACTTGGTTGGAGCACTCCTCCAGTCAAATCGCACACGTTTCTGTTCAGCAGTCATCCTTAATTTCTAGGCTATTTCGAGTTCTTAGATTTAATTCTAGCTTTTTAAGGAGAAAGCTACATTTCATAAAATGCGGTGAAGTATAAGATGAAAAAGAAGCGTAAACGCAAGTTAGCAACTCAATATGCCAAGCGTGGACCCACTGTATAGCACGAGGATGAGAGTCACTTACAGACACAAAACGAGCTAGGAAAAAATACTTCTTTTGTCTCACCCAAAAAAAATTTTGTAAAACTTCAAAAAAAGCCCTAGTGAATTTTTGGTGCACTAACATGTTTTTTTTTTATTACATTGACATTCGGTTCTAATCTATAAAGCTATATTTCTCATATCGTGATTTTTTGCATCCTAGTGATATGCAAACAATGATAACTCTGCTTTTAAGCAATATTTTGACATAAACTTTTGCATGCTGTTTATTTATAGGTGGAGCTGTTCATTCACCTCCAGCTTGGTGCCGTCGAAGCGGCTGTGGCTCGAACTTACTTACGCAGTCAGGCTCGCTTTCACACCGTACCATGACCTCGGTGTCGCACAAACATTTTCACTCACGATCAAGGCCGGTACGAATCGAGTTCAGTTCAGAGGTTAACCACTTAGCGATTGAAAGTAACCATGCAACAGCTCCTCAGACTATGTCGTGATTAACCCTGCGATCAAGCGCGCCCGTGTCAGCCTGTCGACGTCGTCGGGTCCGAGTGCTCCACACAATGTTCCCTACCCGCGCGCACAACAAAAAAAAGAGAGAAAAAGCAATAATGATCTCGGGGAAAAGCTTACGACAGAGTAGAACACAAAATATTATTGGATCATTTAAAATTTTATGACACCTCTAATTATATTATAAGATAGTTTAGGGAGTTCTTAACTAATGAGGGAGTTATATTGTTTACGAAAGTGTCATTCTTCAAATATACAATCCAGGTTACGAGGAATTCTTGAGAGAGCAGTAACCTCGCTTTTTCTTCTTAATATATTGCTAAGCTCTACTCCCAGTCATGATGAAGTATACACACATGTATATGCAGATGATATAGCACCCTTTTTTCGCTTCAGATAGTGATATACAATCGTTATATATTCCCCTATGAACGTATAAGTGAGCAATTATTAATCGATTGCACGCTATTACTTTAGGACTGAATGCTTGAAAGAGCGCGATTGCAATTTTACCTTTAGATAACCCAGTCACTATTATCTAGAATAACTTGAAACCTGCAGAATATATCGCAGTTGAACTCGGTAAAATATTAAGGAATATCTTATGATCACCACCTCTTTTGGCATACGACCAAGAAAGAAGTACGGGCACTGAGAGTCTTATGAAGGCTATGCAGCATTTGATCAGGGATACGAAGAGAATACGAAATCCACATACATGCAGTATTTCAGGACACCAGTGGTTCAGCCCTGTATTAGCATTCGGATATGTTTTATATTCTGGTTCAATGCCTTATAAATTGTGTACTCTTAGAAAGGGACATGACATGACAAAAACTTTATTTAGGTCCTGAGGGACAGATATCCAAAGGAGCTGTAAGCCTCTCGCCATACAAAGTCGGTGGCTCCACCCACGATGGGACAGGAAGTGGAAGTTCTGCTTGGAAAGGGAGGCCCAAATTTAATCCTTGGATTATCGAAATTCACAGCCAATAAGGTCCTCTACTTAGAAGCTAGGATGTCCTTTCTTTTGCGTAGATTTAGGATACTAACTGTGCATTCATTCCTTAAGATTTATGAAAATTCTATAAAAATAAAAATTATTTTCATGTATACATCAGTATTAGTTGTTTTTATGTATTTTATTCACTTCGGTTTCATACGGCATTGTTGGGCTTCATAGAAGCACTTGTTGAATCATTAGATGTAAACTGAGTGAAGTTCCTTGCATCCGCAATGAAAGACTAATTTAAAAACGTTTTTCACGATGTATATCCAAATCATACTAAAAATTTACATTGCTATATATTAAACTAGCTTCTACAGAGGCATTTATAGTGGAGAAATGTAAAGAAATATAACTACACATGTCTCACACTTTGAAAAAAAAAAAAAAAAATCCGGCATCAGTATTTTTTCCTAGACGTTCCATTGTTGATTCTCAACAAGACTTCCCGATTTCTTATCAGTTTCTTCAGCGGAATTGCATTATGAATTCTTTGCACTCGCTAAGAATAGCGTTTCTCAATTATCACGTGGCTTTGGGACGTCATTACATTATTATTAGTTTTCTCAATTATGTCACGAACTTTTCATTTTCTGTTCTCTACGCACGTAACTCAAATCAGATTAATCTGGGTACCGGGCCCCAAAGGAACAAAAATTTACGAAAATGACGAAATAGCGGATGCTCCGGCGACCGGCGCTCTCAGTGATCTGATATTCTCAATTATTCTAACAGCCCACATTATTCGTGACAGATTGAGAAGGCGAGTAATAGCTTAACCCTGTGAAGTCATTTATCACTCACCTACACGAGTATTGACCCCTCTTGTTCCCTTGGCGTAACGATTTCTGTTCAATGCGAAAAGTAGTATAGTTACTTTTATAAAATTACGCTCTCGCTTTCTGAAATTGAAGTATAGTATATATGCACAGAGGTGGTCTAGCTCCTTCCCCTCTTTTCTAGTATTGTAACAAGGACGAAACAACTGAAAATTATTTCTTATCATGCATCTACTTCAATTTATAAGGAGAAACATTTTCAAAATGACGTTTTGAAAATTCTATCCTCGGGACTCGGAGTCCCTCATCGTCATTGTCACTGAGACGCCCCGCCGTGATGGTCTCGACTGCTGACTCGCAGGTCGCGGGATCGAATCCCGGCTACGGCGTCTGCATTTTCGATGGAGGCGGAAATGTTGTAGGCCCGTGTGCTCAGATTTGGGTGCACGTTAAAAAACCCCAGGTGGTCGAAATTTCCGGAGCCCTCCACTACGGCGTCTCTCATAATCATATGGTGGTTTTGGGACGTTAAACCCCACATATCAATCATTGTCACTGAGACCTATGTCCTAGGTGAAATTTATTTTAATGATTCAGGGCGGTGTTAACCTGAACTAAGTTAGCATCATTAGGTTAGTTTGACTATTATATAAATTTTTAGTCATACAATTATAATGTGAACACCTTTCAACGTGAGCCATACGTATAGGTGATCACCATCATCAAAAGATAAAGCGGCTCCAGGTGAAAAAAAAACAACAGAAGTTATGACAAAAAACGAACAATAGCAAAAAATAAAAGTGGCTTCGTCTCGTATACTTAAGTCTACCTCGAGAAGAGGAGACCAGAAAACGAGTAAGCACTGCTTGGTGCAGGCAGCACCAGAATGTTTGGCCACTTTCGCGATTGTTATAAATTTTCCTTGATAAGATTACATGCAGGACACAAGTAGTAAATCTTGTTCTCGAACTGACGCGGACACCAGAGATCCAGAGATTACTCTGGAAAGTTTGATCACTGATGTATAGAGGATTTAGAGAAACCAACAATGCGGTTTGGTACTGGTTCAATCACGATGCGCATGTGCTCTCTACGCTTCATTAGCTGATACATAGACACGTTCTCAGCACCGGGCATACCTTAGAATTTTTTAAGCCGACGGTATTGCAAGTGGGATTCACTTCACAATATAAGCACGAAATGCACGAGTAATTTTTAATTCACAAGTTTAAAGCGCCTTCTAGGAGCCTAAATGAAAACGCTGGTAAATTGTCCAGCGTGCTGGCACAATATCGCAACGCTTCCTAGAATTTGACAATAGTATACAGTGCATGCAAAGTTCCGTGGTGCTACAGACTATCTCTGTATGGACAATCATTCTGTCACAACAGTGTTATTTTCTGGTCTGGTTTTTTGTCTGATTTTGTTCGCAGAGTGCAATCTTTTTTTTTGTGTGCGCTTTGCACGGCGCAGTGAATCTCATAAATGATATGTCTCGCAGTATCTTACTGAATAGAGGCACGGTATTTTGTCTAACGGGATAAAGTTGTTTGTGCCATTGCGATTCGCATTGCAAGTGTTGTGTCCACCACGTGCCTATAACTTGTTTTCGATGCGCATAAAGTCTGATTGCGGTGCACTGCTCCCTATAGTTCACATCTTCCAACCTGAACAGGATGTTCTAGCTAAAATCGCAAAGTAATAAAAAAAAATTAAACATGAGCATTACACGTCTCCAATTAGTGCAGTATGCTTCTGCAGTATATAGAGCATGTCAGAATATTTTTTTTCAGTCTGTCAAGCTTTGCAATTCACAAAAATTGCTTACTGAATATTGAAATAGTGACTCTAAGAAAAACCTTCAGTACGAAATTTGTAACACTTAAACAAAAATAATGAAATTTTCACCCTGCAGTAAGACAACTCCACTGCTTAATTATCGCCAGCCTCGTTTTAAAGTTCGCGTAATTAAAACATTATCACATCGCTGCTGCCACCCGCTGCATTTTTTAGTGCCCTCAGTAGGTTCAAGGAATTATCAAATACTGTCCACGAAGGAAGGTCGCATGAACCGGCTATCGGTGACTAAGATAGAC